TTCTTTGGAGTTGTTTCAGACAAGAGAGTAAATGCAGGCCTTGTTATTCTGCCTTGGCTGGAAACAGACACTGGAGCTGAGCCTTCCTCTTCATTTCCTTACCTGTCCTCAATTCCTGTATCTCAAACTCTTTTAAACGCAGACTGAGACAGAGCTGTCCCTTTTGAACTTGCTCGTCCTCATTTTTTCACACAGTAATTGTTTTTGCCTATAGAGTACTTTCCTGATCTAAAATTATTTTATTATATTGAGGAGGGTATAATTAGTCTTTCATGACATTTGATTTTGAAGGTCTGATTCAGGGTGCATTCTATTTAGGAATGAAAAGAAAAATATATCACGACACCTCTTGCGTTCATTTAAAATCTAAGCAGTTTTGAAATGAAGCCAATATTTCAGCAGAATATTTAGCAGTATCTAATCATCTAGCTACAAAAGTGTCTGATGGAAATGATTTCTCAGCTAATTAGTCTGTTTGGTCCTTACTCAAACCTAACATTTAGCCTGCATTTGCCTTACTCGTAGTTGTGATTGAATCTTGTCCATTAAATTACCTGACTCACATTTGAAAATGATTAAAACTTAACAGTCAGTTAATTTTTTTCTACATATGAGCCTTGTTATATTAGTATTTATTCCTTTTTTTCTGATTGAGATAATGGGCAAGAAATTCCACTGTTTTTGAACAAATGCAGTAGAATCTTTTGATTTGTTCTAATTAAGAAAAAGATTATATTTTGAGTGTAATTGTTCTTTAATATTTTTCACTAAATATAAAGTTGAATGGAATTTTTTTTCTTAGCTGTATGAGAGTCAAATGATTGATAAAGAATAACAACTTTCAGGATAAACAAAAGTCAGCCATATCTTTTGTTCTTAATCTCTGTTATAGCAGAGTGATGATTGATTTTCATAATGAAATAAACCAGAAATATAACAAAAAGTGTTACAACTAAGAAACCAGCAAAAAGATGACCCTGAGATACTGAAGGATTTAATACTGTTTTCTGAATCACTATAGTAATGATCAAATTTTAACTTTTATGGTTTTGGTAAAGAGAGAAAAGTACAATACCATATACAGGGCACTAGAACAAATTAAAAGGCTTAAGTTATTCTGCCAAATGCTGTGTGACTGAGCAAATCTTGACAGTTTGGACTTTATACTATCCTCATTTGTCATGACTAAATGAACTAGCAGGAGGAGGTAATACTATGTGCCAGGTGCACTGCTAGTCTGTGCACTTACTGTACTTTATTTAGTTCTCATACCTTCTTTCTCCCAAAATAAGACCTAGCCAGAAAACAATCAGCCTTGAAAATTAGAGATAAAAAATGCAGCCCCACTTTCAGATCAGGCCCTTAGAAAGATGGCCACAGTACAAGGGGCTGAGGTGAAAGTGGTTTGCGAGCCGAAACTCAACAAAAAGTCGTGGTAATCGTTAGCTACAGTGTGTCCTACCGTGTTGATACAAGCTGCTCTAAGGCTTGTTAGGGGGTCCCTGTGCCAAACTTGGGCAGAATGGGGTCAACGGGAACTTCGATTCAGTCAACTTGATCCTTTCACAGCGCTTCACAAGGACAAGGCCCTTTCTGATAAAAGAAGTGAACTAAAAAGATGTCTTAAAGCCAAGAAGAAAGTGGCAGAGAAGGCGGCCAAGCAGAAAGCTCAGTGGGAAACAACTAAGGGAGGCTATTGCTGCTGCACCGAGCAAGAGAGCCTGGACCCAAGCAGTATTACAAGATCCAAAGTCAAGCAGTTCTCTAGCTAAAGGAAGGTCAGTAGGGAGGATCTGTACCCACACAAGCTCCACATAGACATTTCCCTCACTCAGTTCATCCAAGAATACAGTCACCTGTAGCTTGGGGAACACCTGACCAACATCACCTTAAAGGTTGCAGGTAGAATCCATGCCATAAGAAGCTCATCTTCTGTGACCTTTGAGGAGAGGCAGTCAAGTTGCACGTCATGGCCAACTCCAGGAATATAAATCAGATGACTTTATTCATATCAACAGCAAACTGTATTGGGAAGACATAATTGGTGTTCAGGGGAATCATGGAAAAATCAAGCAGGGTGAGCTGAGCATCATTCCCTACAAAATCACACTGTTGTTTCCTTGCCTGCATATATTACCTCATTTGTACTTTGGCCTCAAAGACAAGGAAACTTGGTATCAATAGAGATACTTAGACCTGATCCTGAATGACTTTGTGAGACAAAAATTTATCATCTGCTCTAACATCATCATATATATATGAAGTGTCTTGGTTGAGCTGTGATTCCTCCAGTTGAAACTCCCATGATGAACATCATCCCTGGGGAAGCTGTAGCCAAGCCTTTCATCACATATCACAATGAGCTGCATATGAACTTACACATGAGAATTGCTCCAGAACTCTACCATAAGATGCTGGTAGTTGGTGGCATTGGCTTGGTTTATAAAATTGAGTGCCAGCTCTAGAACAAAGGAATCGATTTGACTCACAGTCCTGAGTTCACCACCTGTGAGTTCTACATGGCCTATGTGGACCATCATGACCTTATAGAAATCACAGAGAGAAGGTGGTTGGTTTCAGGTATGGTGAAGAACATTACAGGCAGTTACAAGGTCACCTACCACCCAGGTGGTCCAGAGGGCCAAGCCTGTGAGATTGAATTCACCCCACCCTTCAGGAGAATGAAGAGCTGGAAAAAGCCTAGGGGTAAAGCTGCCTGAAACCAACCTCTTGGAAGCTGAAGAAACTAAAAACTTCTTGATGATATCTGTGTAGCAAAAGCTGTTGAATGCCCTCCACTGCAGACCACGCCAGTCTCCTTGATAAGTTTGTCAGGGAGTTCCTGGAAGTGACACGCATCAATCCTATGTTTATCTGTGATTGCCCACAGATAATGAGTCTGTTAGCTAAATGGCACCACTCCAAAGAGTCTGAGTTCTTTGAGTTCTTTGTCAGGAAGAAGGAAGTATGCTGTGCCTACAGTGAACTGAATGATCCCATGCGGCAGTGGCCGCTGTTCGAAGAACAGGCCAAGGCTAAGGCTACCAGTGATAATGAGGCCAAAAACTTATAGACAAAAACTTCTGCATCGTCCTGGAGTATGGGCTGCCTCCCACAGCCAGCTGGAGCATGGTAACCACATCACCATGTTTCTCACAGACTCCAGTAACATCAAGGAAGTACTTCTGTTTCCTGCCAAGAAACCAGAGGACAAGAAAGAGACTGTAGCAAGCACTGACACAATGGAAAGCCAATGATTGTCACTTCTGTCTAGAAAGTATACCTCAGGCACCCGCATTTCTGCAAAAAGGTCATGTCTTGGAGGAATTCTTATGTGCACTTATCCATTTGAACACCACAGATCAGTTTAGCCACCAGAAGAGAGAAGAGGAATTAGGAATTTCTTTTACTTCTTGCTACCAAATAAACCATTTGTCTCTTTACCGTAAAAAAAAAAAAAAAAATGCCAGCCACCAACCAGCCTATCCTTGCCTAACTTGCCATCACTGTTCTCTTGCTTGGTGGCCACTCAAGGGAAGTAAAGCAAGGATAGGCTGATTGGGGCTGACCTTTTTGATCTCTAGTTTTTGAGTCTGATTACTTCCAAGCTAGGTCTTATTTTTGAGGGAACACAGTATTAGCTGTAGAAAGTAGATAAAAATGTATATTTCATAGATGGAGAACCTAAGTTTCCAGGATGTTAACTAACATTCAACTTGTCAAGCAACTTCAGTATTAAAGACAATTTGAGTCTAAGTGTCTGTGTTTGTTGTTTGTTTGTTTGTGACCTGGGTTCCCATATGCTAGGTGGGTGCTGTAACACTGAGCAACATCCCCAGCCCTTTTTATTTTGTATTCGGAGACGGGTCTTGCTAAGTTACTGAGGCCAGGCTCAAACTCAGCCTCCCAAGTAATTAAGGTTACAGTGATATACCCACTGAGCCTGGTAAATGTAAGACTTTATTATTCTAAAGTCATGAAGTTTCTTTTATTTCTCAAATATGCTTTTAATTTTGATACTGTGAACCATTGTATGCTAACATGGTAAATTTCTAAATTGCCTTTGATTTGTCTTTTTCATTTTCTTTTTACTCTCAGTTTTATAACTTGCATTATATTCTGATAATTAAAATCTTATCAGTTTATCAGAACCTAGTACAGTATGTCTTCTTTTGAGTTTCTAAAGCATGTATTACCTATTGCTCATTTAGTAGCTGTGTATCTGGGATATAGGTAGTTTTACATTTAGAAGTTGATATACCAAATTTTTAAAATTTCTACACATTTTTGTATTGTTGTAACACTTAGATTGGATAAACTCCAGGAAAAGTTTCTCAGTTTATTGACATTTAACACAGCATTGTTTGTGTATAATTCATACAACTTAGTATATTGTGAGTAAATTTTATTAACTAGACTATTTTAATCAGTATTCTCAGTTACTGTATTCACTTCTCATGGATAAATTTATTCTATGTGAGAAGTTTTGAAATTTTAAAAATTCTAATCAGTGTAGTTTTTCAGAGAAACCCTTCAAAAAATTTTTTATTCATAGCATTTGATGAATTTTCAAAATGAATTGAAGTTAGCGTCTTTATTTGACAAGAATACCAGATACTTTGCCCTGTGTGTACCTCAGTTTTTCAAGTGTTCAAGAAGCTGGTATTATTACCATTACTACTACTACCACCATCACCACCACCACTACTACTGCTGCTGCTGCTGCTGCTGCTGCTGCTGCTACATGTAATTCAAAAGTCAGTTAACTTGTCTGGGTTTTATTTCTTTCATCCGTAAGAAACCAAGTTCAAATATATGTCTTCAAACAGTGTTCCAGAATTTATGCAACCTACAAGTTTGAGATAAATTTGATTTCACAACTGGAAAGTAACATTTAACTTGTACTTAACCTATAAATAGATCATGTTATATTTTTCTTCGAAGTATTTTGAGATCTTATTTTTCTACTTTATGGTTAATTTTCTTTTCTGTCTTATCAGTACTTCCTCACGTGTTGCTAAAGGAGGAGCAGACCAAGCCAAAATGAGTCTACATGGTGCTAGTGGTGGACAGGAGAGATCAAGAGACAGGCGAAGGTCAAGTGACAGATCACGAGATTCATCTCATGAAAGAACAGAGTCTCAACTCACTCCTTGTATTAGAAATGTTACTTCTCCAACACGGCAGCACCATGTTGGTGTGTAAAAATCAACTAACCTTCTCACCAGTTCTTAAAAGCAGGCATTTAGGTTTTTGAAGTTGCAGTGGCGTTGAATTATGTCAGATTCCTATGAGTAAAATTAGCTTCTTCTATTCATTTTAGCTGAGCTTAGTTCTTACTGTGAAAAAATATCTTATTAAATAGAATTTGAAGGTGAATGTTTTGAATCTGGGACTGTCTTACAAAAGGAAGTAGCTTGAAATGCCTTTGGAACTGTGAGACAGATTTTTACAAAATTTCTAGTTAATTGTTATATAAGATATATAGCAGTGGTTTATTATAAAATAATTTATAGTTAATTAGTGAAAGGAATTTAATAATGCTAACAGAGTAAAAGCATAACCATCATGGAGTTACTCATCCTGATTCTTCACAATGTCTCAAATTTAATAATAGCAGAAGACGAAAGGAAGTGTGAAATGTTTTATACTTTTAGTAACTAGTTCAGGTTTTTTCCTTCCTACTCAGTACTATAAATGAACATTGATATATAAATGAATACATTGTGTGATTGTAAAGCACAGTACCAGTCTAAAGCAGATGTAGCTAAGCAGTGTGAGCTGCTGATTTTCATTTTCACCTAGAGAAGACAATTTAAATACTTTGACTTGGTGCTGAATATATAGCACAGTGGTAGAGAGTGCACTTAGCATGTGTACAGTCCTAGGTTCAATCTTCAACACCTGGAAAAGAACCCCAAAACATATTTTTAGGTTGGGAGTATGGCTCAGTGGTAAAATACTAAAGTGGTAAAGTTTAGAATGCTTGAGATCCTTGTTTCAATCCCAGCTCAGGCACAACACACACACACACACACACACACACACACACACACTTTAGCTGTATGAGACTTGTGTCAACCAGCTCAGGCACAACACACACACACACACACACACACACACACACACTTTAGCTGTATGAGATAGTTTCTGATTATTGTAAATCTAAATTATTCTTATTGGGGTCTAATTATACAAAGATACTGATATCTAATAGGTCCTGGAAGACTGGCTACTATTAATAAGCCAAAAATCAACAAGAAATTAAAACTAAGAGTTTACAGTTTGTTTTTTTACACAATTCAGTATCTAAGAACAGGATAGCAGAATATAATAAATTATTTTCTTTAGCAAATTTTGCTTTCGAGATGCTACCAGCATTATGGAAACAATAAAAGAGAAGTGTCAGAGTATCTCTGGAGACAAACTAATTATATAATCAGTAATGCTGTACTGAGTGTTCTGAGTAGCCTGAGTCATGGAGGAATTTGGCAAAAGCTGATGAAACTGATGAGATGGAGGTACATTTTTTTAGGTCACCTTTAAAATTTAGGGATCTAGCCTCTAAATAAAACATCACAAAATCTTAGTTTCTCTTTTCCCGTTGTAGAATATTGGAGCATCTACAGAAAATTTTCTGAATTTTAACATTTTGTACCTTTGGAAATTACAGACAATAGTTGCAGATCCAATAAAATTTCTGGTATTGCTTTGTTCTGTAAAGTGAAAATAAGAAATCAGTGTATCGTTTGCTGCCAAAACCACTTTATTTGTTAGACATTTATAAGCATTTGAAAAAAATAAATACTTCTTACTGTCCTTAGTAAATTTTTTTTCTTCTGCTTGGACCTTTCTTTTGTGATAAACTACTGGTTTTACAGGGCCCTTCTTAACATAATGAGATTCCTAAATTTGTACTTTATGTTCTCAGAATAGTGTTATCCTTTTTAGTAACTAGGACAGTTTATAATGGTAATTTTACTAATTTTTAACTAACTTCCAATATATATTCGATTTATAAGAATACTCAGTTTATAAGTGGTTAAGTGGAGTAATAATATAAAGTTAATTTTGTTATTACTCTGTAAAAAGTAATTAGCTATATATCTTTTTTTTTTTTTTTTTTTTTTTTTTTTTTGAGACAGGGTCTCACTGTGTAGTTGAGACTGACCTGGAGCTTACTATGTAGCCCAGGCTGGACTTGAACTCGCAGCAATCCTCCTGCTTCAGCCTCCCAAGTGCTGGGATTACAGGCATGTGCCACCACGCCCAGCTTATATATCTTTTTAATAGGCTACAAAAAATGATTTAGGAAATGTTTTGATGTTTTGAGGTTTATTCTTAGGAAGTAAATGTAATGTTTATTATGTTCTTTGAAAATGTTATTTAAAATTTAAAATCTAATATTTTAAAAGATATATACAGATCTTGAATTTTTTAAAAGAAAATTGACAAACTTTAACATCTTTATTTCAGAAAGAGAAAAAGATCATAGTTCCTCTCGTCCAAGCAGTCCTCGTCCTCAGAAAGCATCTCCAAATGGCTCATTTAGCAGTGCTGGGAACAGCAGCAGAAACAGTAGTCAATCAAGTTCAGATAGCTGTAAGACAACTGGGGAGATGGTATTTGTATATGAAAATGCAAAAGAAGGAACTCGAAATGTAAGAACGTCAGAACGAGTGACGCTGATAGTGGATAACACTAGATTTGTTGTAGACCCATCTATTTTTACTGCACAGCCAAATACAATGTTGGGCAGGTTTGTATTACTGTTCTTGTTTATGTTACTAATTACAAAGCACTTTCACAGCCATTATTTTCTGATTTAAGTTTTATTTACAGTAATTCATTTGTAATGCCATGTGCCCATTTTATAGACGAGAGAACAGTTTAAGAAGTTAAATTACTTGCTCCTGTCAGTACAACTAGAACAGTGTAGAGCAAAAGCTTGAATTTGATTTTTTTTTTTTTTTTTTTTTTTTTTTGGTACCAGGGATTGAACCCGGGTCTTTGTGCTTGCAAGGCAGGCATGGCACCACTGAGGTAAATCCCCGGCCCTTGAATTTGATATTATTTCCACTATTCTCTGTAGTATGAGTAGAAACAGAACACATATTACTTATTAAAGTTAGGATACTAAAAGATCTGTATAAACTGAGAGTTAGAATATTAAAATATCTGTACAGATTGAGATGATAGGTTGAATTTAACCAGGTGAATTTAGCAATGATGTTTCTAATCTCCCAGATTTAACCACCAGATATAGAAAGTATTGGCATTGCTTATGAAAAAAATAGTTTGGTTAGCTAAAGTGAGCTTGAGTTGTTAGTTTGATGTCTATATTTTGAAAGGGGGCAAGAAAAAAATTGCCATTAATAAGTATACTTATAGAATGAAGAAATTTAACAGTTGTCTTTTGATTTCTTCTGGTAGAGAGTTATAAAGTTTATAGTTATAGGAACCACAATCTAAGGATGTAAACAACATAGACTTGATTTTTCAGCAGTTTGAAACACGGATCAGGTACTCTCTGGTTAGGAAGTCAGTATCTTTTAGGGAAATTAAATCTGTCTTTTTGTGCAATTAAATGAAATGGTGTGCAGGTGAAATACAGAAGCAATTTACATGAGGTAAAAACTGATATTTCTCTACTTTGCTTATTGATGACTTTGTACTGTATTGATGACTCAGTATGTGATTTGCCTCAGAATATAGAACAAATGCTAACATTGCCATACTCTGTAGGGGAAGATGGAGACCGTTAGGAGATGACCTGACATTCCTAATAATACTTTTATATAGGATTTAAAACAGTTAAAAAAATTGAAATTTTGCTTCAGCTGTTTTTAAGATTAAGTATTCATACTGATCTGAAAAGAATAGCTTTCCCCTTGTCTGAAAAGTTCAAGCATTTGAAGAAATTGCATGACATTTGATTCTTGAATGATACTTTTTTTAAATCAGTGAAAGCCTCTTTTCATGTTAGTTGACTAAAGCATATCTTTTGGGATGAAAATTAATATTCATAGGAGCTGGAAAGCAGTTGGAATTCTTTTGAAAACTGAAATAAAAAGCCTTTGTTCTTCTGTGGTTTCTGTGTTACAACAAAAGAGGAAACTATTTAAATTAGGAAGCTATTGAATAAAATACTTAGATCAACCATGTTTACTTTAGCAGTAATGGTATCTTTGAGTTTAGAGGTATTATTTTTAAATCCTTATTTTAGAATTTTCTTTAGAGTACTGCTTTAAGCTTGAATTTCATTGAAAAGGACATATTTTGCAAATTGACTCTTGTATGCATTACTACTGTTAAAGGGGCAATGATGTAACTTGAAAAAATATAACTCAATTGTATTTTCTTTTGTGGTACTGCAGATTGAACCCAGGGCCTTCTCACTGATTTACATCCTAAGCTATTTATTAGTTCACTTGCATATTTATTTAGAGTCAAGGTCTCACTGAAATGCTAAGTAGCCTCAGGCTGGGCTCAAACTTGTGATTTTCCTGCTTCAGCCTCCCAGAGTACTGGGATTGCAAGCATTACAGCCATGTCCAGCTTACATATTTCTTATATAAAAGTTAATATTGAGATTTTTATTCATTTATTTAAACTTTTTATTCTCCACTTCTCTATTCTTGTGTATCCTAGCATTTGATTGCATGTTTTTCAGTTCTATAATGCAAGTCTTAAGACTCTAGTGTAGGACTTCTTACACTTATAATGGATCATGAAACTTAAAACAACCTAACTTGCTTACATCGTCTTACTTTTTCCCATTTTGTTGTATGTGCTGCATTAAAGCACTAACTTTACAATGAAAACAAGTTTTAAGGAAGATGTACAATGAAAACAAGTTTCAGGACAAGAGAACAGATAACACATCCCCCACCCCTTTTTTTCTTTCTCAGATAAAAATCACCTTTTGTCTAAAAATGATTGTGTTTTGAGTTTTTTTCTCTTGAGGAAGGAGTTGGAAAGTTCTTTAGCTTCTCAACTTTATCATTTAATTTTACCATGGCTTGGTGAATCTGTACTATTATTCCTTCTTAACAAAAAAGTCTCTTTTGTGTGTGATGCTGGAGACTGAACCCATATCCTCACACATGCTAAGCAAGCATTTTACCTTTTGATCTACATTCCCAGCCCCTCCCCCAATAGTTTTTATACTTTCCTTTACAATGTTTGCCAGAATAAATGGACTTAGTTATAATTTGAGGCTTAGATTATGATTCTTTTTCACTTTTGAAGGAAGTGCTCTGTTGATTTGTGTTTTAATTACTTTCTATGACAGGATGTTTGGATCTGGTCGAGAACATAACTTTACACGTCCCAATGAGAAGGGAGAGTATGAGGTGGCAGAAGGGATTGGTTCCACTGTATTTCGAGCTATCCTGGTAAGTGTTTGTTTCTTACATTATTAACTTAATCGTAAGACCCTCCCTTGATAGATACTTGCTTGGAAAGAGGGGTCTATATCAGTATCTCTTTGGAGGTATTCAGGATATTGTTTTTCTTTAAACACTTTAACATATTTATTTTAGTACATAATGATAATATGATATAAACAAATGAACTTTACATCCTATATATGATACTCATTTCTTAGGTCTGCATAGGAAGTTCTTTTAGGTATTTAGTAGTAACCTTTCTAGAATCACATTACTCCTCTCTTCTATCTACATTCTATTAAATGTCAATCATTTTTGCTAAGTGAGAATGAATATGGCTACTTCAGTCATGCCTTATTGCTCCAGACTAATAATATGGAAACTCTTGAACAGTTAAAAATCATGCAGAAAATATATTTCTTAGCATCTTTGTTTTAAACTTTTTAAAAGAAGTTATAACTTTTTGTTTTGAGGATTCTCTGAATTACAGAGTTCCTACTTGTAATTTCAATTCATTGATAAAGATTTTATTTGTAGTATGTGACAGTTTGAAAATATAGTTTCCTTAAAAAGTTGTAGAGGAAAAAAAAAGAAAAGATAAGATCCTGAGATAGAAGGTGAATAGGAAAAGTAATTGATCAGGTTGTTGTTACTTAATCTAAGTACCAGAGATGTTCTGCTTCCATTGACACCACAACCTGAGAAATTGTGTTAGTGGTTTCTATAGTTCTAAACCTCAGAAAGCTTGAGACAGGTTTTAATTTGGGGGAAGCTTTCCATACTTCCATTTAATCTGCTGTGGAGTTAACACAAACAATGTTTGTGGAATAACTTACATGTGATTCTAGGCTCAGTCCTAATAACTTTATAAGTACATTTGTAACTAATAGTATTATAATGATATGGAAACACTGAAGTATAGTATTTAGAAAAATGTCTAATGTTCATCTATCCTGACACTAAGGTATGACTTTACAATCTTACTAAAAACCTTAAATTTTATTAAATCCTCTATGTAATATTTAAGGGAACATGTTATTCACTTTCCTTACTTTTTAAAAAAACTTTTACATTTTATGTAGTTTTACAGAAAAAAATAACTTTTGTGGGAAATTGTAATAATTGATGTGATATAGTAGAGAGAAGAGATGAATAAGATAGTGGGTAGAACTAGGTTCTAATCATCTCTGCTGTCAAGTAATTGTATGCTGGGATGTCAGTGAATCTAGGTCTGAATTATCCTTGTAAGTAAAAGAAAAACATTGTTTGATATGCTGAGATCCCAGCTAAGTTTAAAATTTCATAATTCAGAAACATCAGAGCTCTATTATTTTTTAAAATGCTATCAACTCAGCATTGGTAAGTTTTAGCCACTTTCACTCCAAGTATTTCATACATTTTTTCACTTTTACTTTTCAGGATTACTATAAGACAGGAGTAATTCGTTGTCCTGATGGCATATCTATTCCTGAACTTAGAGAAGCATGCGATTATCTCTGTATTTCTTTTGAATATAGTACTATTAAATGTAGAGATCTCAGTAAGTATGCTATTTTTTTATATAAGTAGTTTGTAAAGTTGCAGTAGATTAGACTGCAAAGTCTGAAAATGCTGTTTAGTAATACTTCAAATATTTATTGGATTGAATTATAGTGCATTTTTGAACAGTGGAAATTACAGAAGTTTGTAGAATTCTATATAATCTCTTTTTATAATTTTCCAACTTTTTTTTCCATATTGAATCAATATTTATTTCAGGACATGCCATGTCAAAATAAAACAAGAGTCAATCCTTGTTTTTAACAATAATAGTGTATTATAAAAGCACTTTATAACTCCATCCCATCTTTGAGTATAAGTTACAAGTATGTGGGTTAATGATTATCTGAAAGCATTTCTCTCTTCAGATCCATAATTCATTTTTTTATGAACTCTTCCTACAGTTCCCCCTTGACTTTTTTTTTTTTTTTGTTACCGGGGATTGAACTCAGGTCCTTGTGCTTGCAAAGCTGGTGGCAGAACCACTGAGCTAAATCCCCAGCCCCTTGACTTTTTTATATCATTTGTTATCAGCCTACATTTTCTCTTTTGGGAGGCTTGACTTTGGTCAAGTGTGATTTTGCTTCATTCCTAAGATCACATCATCTAAAAATTTATAACCTGAATGTTATGGAAGATACAAATAATTCTCGTAAATGGTATTGGTCATTACAGATCAAATTGATTCCCTAGCCCAGATAGATAGATAGATAGATAGATAGATAGATATTGTTATTAATATATATTGTTAAATTGGCTTCATCAGAGAACTTCAAACAGTCTCAAAGGAGGATCGAGAACTTTGGAATCCCATCTTTTGATTGGTATTCCCTCACCACCTCTACAGCACCAGCTGTTAGGCTGTGTGTGAGAAGAGAGGTGATCACATCACACACAAAGGAACCAAAATAGAATATGAGAAGTAGCAAATGTTAACTTGGATATTAAGTGGTTGAAGAAGTTTAGAGGAAGAATTCAAGGACAAATAGTAAAGTATGAATAGGAATGATTTTAAAAGAATAAAGAGATTATTCTTAAGAGCTCAAGCTTTTGGACTAAAGATGCAACAGGTATACTTTAGAAGTAACCTGATTGGACTTTATATCAGGACCAGAAAGAGATGAGTAAATAGACGGGCCATATTATGGAATGTCTTAAAATACCAAAATAATGTTCTTTTTTTTTTTTTAATCCTGTAAACAGTTGTAGCTCTTTAAAAAGTTTCGTACATGAGGTTTATTGCCTTATGCCAGTCCCGTATATATGGTTACCTTTACTTCATTACCTAAGTTCAACCCTACTATACTGGCAGATTAGTATTACACCTTCCCAAATACTAGTATGTTAGAAACTTTTAGAAAGTAAGTTTTTAAGGCACTGCCATGTATGTTGAATATAACCCTCTTTCCCCATCTTTAGTTTTTACCTAACTCCTTGAAAACCTGCATTAACAAGTCTGTTCCTAGGTGTCATGTTATTGTAGCTAAATATTCTTTAAAGTCTCCATAAAAAACATCAATAGGTAAAACCAAAAAATAGGTCTCTCAGTCTGTTTCTCTGTAAATATTTAAAAGTTTAAAATCAGCCAGGTGTGGCAGAACGTGCCTTTAATACCCGTACTCAGGAGGCTGAAGCAGGAGCGTACTTAAGTTTGAGGCCAAACTGGGCTACACTGTGAGTGTGCAACCAGCCTGGACTGCATGAGACCCTCAAAACAAACAGTAACAGTAAACACTAAATTTAAAGTCAAATAGACAGCTGGAGGATCCACCTATGAATTTGAAAAATGCTACTTTTTTTTCACATTTTAAAAAATTGTTTTAATTGAAACCATGAGTTTTGTAACTCCTTCAAGTTTTATGTCTTTTTATTCATGAGACCATTTAATTAAATTTTATATAATTAGATGTTGAAGTTTGGTAACATTAAAAACACTAGAATTTCTTACACATAATATACATGATACAAATTTTAATTTTCCAACCCTTTAGATTTACTCTGTCAATATTTTTTGTTAAATAATTAAAGAATCTTTTTGTAAAATATATGATTTTCCTAGAGTTCTAAAATTTTTAATAATATTTATAATTGTTTTAGATTCGTTTATGTTACTGAAAATTTAGATATTCTCAAAAACCCTATTAAGAAAAATTGTGTATATATATATATATATATATATCCAACCCTTTAGATTTACTCTGTCAATATTTTTTGTTAAATAATTAAAGAATCTTTTTGTAAAATATATGATTTTCCTAGAGTTCTAAAATTTTTAATAATATTTATAATTGTTTTAGATTCGTTTATGTTACTGAAAATTTAGATATTCTCAAAAACCCTATTAAGAAAAATTGTGTATATATATATATATATATATAGAGAGAGAGAGGTGTTGGGAAAATGTGAAGAAATATTGCAAGTATAGACTTGAATTCTAAACTATGTCTTTTTTCCTGCAAATATGGGTCTTTATTGTATATTTGGAATGGCATTTTGTACTATTTGTCTCTTAATTTATATATAGGTACTAAGTATAGTATTCATTAACTAGAAAAACCTGGATTTCTTTAGCAAGCTACTTAAAACCTTGTGTCTTAGCTGTCTCATTTTAAAATTAAAATAATAATAATATTAAAAAATTTCTGGGAAGATTAATAGTGCCTAACATATAATATTAAATAAAAATTTGCTGCTTTTAAAAGTAGCAAAAATTAAAAAATGTTAATATATCATACTGTACATGCTGTTTTATAATATTTTCACATGAAATACATTGTGAATAAGTGAATATTAGTACATTTTTAAAAATAACTCTTTAATAATAGCGTGGTATGTGGGCATTCTGCATTTTTATTGAGTATTCTCTTTATACCAGACATAAGGTATATAAAAAGCAACAACAGAAAAAGACAAAATCCCCATGTGCAGTACAGTGTAAAGGAAGGACCAGTAAATTATGTTGTTAGAGTAAAAATAGATGCTAAAGGAGCGTACAAGAGCTGCTCCTAACCCAGATGTGGGGATTTGGGAAGCTTTCTGGACAAAAGGAGAGAAATGTGTTTCAGATGGAAGGAGAACGAGGCAACAAAGTTACAGGGAGGAGCTGCTTCAATATATTTGTCAGGTGAACTTACTAAAGGAAATCTATGGTAATTGGTAGCTCCCAGTTGGGGTTGTAGTCCATGATTTCTCCATAGGTAAGCACTGTAACCCAGAAGTTACGAGAACCAGAGCGGAACTCAAGATTGAAAGCTTAGATTGAAAAAAATGAATGCTTGGGTGAAAGCATGATGAAAAGTAACATTTAAGATCTAATCAAGATACCAATTTGGTATCTGAAGAAAGGCATTTATGAAGAAAATGAGACTTCAACCAAAAAGCAAAAAACTAAAGTTAGATTCAAGCTTTTATTTATTTATTTATTTATTTATTTATTTAGGTACCGGGGATCAAACTCGGGACCTTTCACTTGCGAGGCAGGCGGTGGAACCACTGAGCTAAATCCCCAGCCCCGTGACAGAATTCTTGACATAAACAGCTTGAAAGAGGAATGCTTTATTTGGCTCATAGTTTCACAGGTTCCAATTTCTGGTCAGCTCTCTCTTGCTTTTAGGCCTGTGTTGAGGCAGAAACATGGCAGAAGAAAGTGGCTTACCTGATGAGAGAGAGGAGGGATTGGGAACAAGATCTGTCCTTCAAAGGCATGACCCCAGTGACCCAGTTCCTCCAACTGGGCCCCACCTTAGTAGCCCATTCCACTATGAACTCATCAACACATTAATCCATTTGTGAGAAGTACCTCATGATTAATCACCTTACTAGGCCTCATCTCTGAATATTGCTGCATTGGGGGGGGTCAAGCTTTCAATACACGAATCTTTGGGGAACACTTTAAATTTAAACTGTAATAGCCACCTCACAAAACCCTATTTGCTTCTAATAGACTTTCACTTGATGCTTATATGTTCTTGGTAGATAATTGACCCTCTTGTAAAATAATACTTTTAATTTCTTTTTTACTATGTTAAATTGGCTAGAGGACTTTGAACAATATTATATTTATTGATAATTTTGGCATCCTTATTTTTAAAGGCATTTCCTGTAGGTCACCCATTTCATTTTGACTTTTTCTCTGGCTCTTTTTTTAGGTCTTCTCCTTATGGTTCTCTTATTTGTTATCTGATTCTTCATCCATTAAATGTGGTTATTCTCTGTTGTTAGCAACCTTTTCTCTGACAGTTTTGGTGACTAAATACCAATATATCAGGTGTACTGTCCCAAATTGATGACTACTAATCTGTTTTATTTGTACTTTGTTTCTGCTTTTTTTTAAAAAAACTTATTAGCCACCCTAAAAAATCAAGATATTTTTATGGGTTTCATTTCAGGTGCCCTGATGCATGAGTTATCAAATGATGGTGCTCGTAGACAATTTGAATTTTATCTGGAAGAAATGATCCTCCCTCTCATGGTAGCTAGTGCCCAGAGTGGGGAACGAGAATGCCATATAGTGGTGCTCACAGATGATGATGTAGTTGACTGGGATGAAGAGTATCCACCACAGATGGGAGAAGAGTATTCCCAAAGTAAGTATTGTGGCATGTTTACTCTCTCTTGAATCATCACGTTATCTTTTTTTTTTTATAATGCTAATTAGAGGACAGGTTTTGTAAAGAAAGTACATTGAGCTCCCATACACCAGGGATGAGCAAACTAGCTTGTGCATCAAATTCAGCTTGCTGCCTGTTTTTATAAATAAAGTTTTATGTATTGCCTGTGGCTGCTTTCACGCTATCGTGGTGGAGTACTGCAACAGAGACTGCATGGCTCGCAAAGCCCAAAGTATTTTCCATACAGATCTGCACAGAAAGTGTGTCCACCTCTGTCATGCGCAGAAGTGGTTTGCTTTTGGTTGACTTTCTGAGGGTAACTTCAAGTTTCAAGCTCTTTTTTTCATATCATACATGTTCCTAGAAGAGACAGTGGCCTTTCACAAAGCTTTCTAGAACTTTTATTTGTTTAGGTGTTTCTTACCATACCATACATACCAGCATGTCTTGGGCAGCATTGAACTTTTTCTTATTTCACTTCCAAGCTTTTATGGCTAGAGTCATTTGATTTTTTTTTTTTTTTAGAAAAATCTATAGTATGTTGTTCTTCTTGATGAACCCAATATTAGCATTTTTGAGCAGTTTCATAAATGGAGAACAGTTCAAAGAATGGCTTAAGTAAAATAGCTTCTTGCTCTGTAAAATTTAGTCTGTTGACTAAGTAAGGATTAGAGTTAATTGCAGGACTATAGAAAGCACCAAAGCCTTTTAATCTCTTCTTTTTCTGTTTTATACACTCTTTTCTTAAAGCGGGGGGCCAAAAAAAGCTGACTCCAGATGGTATTCTTGTTGACTTTTAAGAACGATTTCCAAGCAGTCATTTTAATACAAGTTATGGTGGCATCTTTCAGAGTTGACACTGAAATACTTCCTCTACATTATATACTTGAATGTTGTAATTCTTTTTTGGATAATAGTAGGTATTTCTCTTGCTGCTTCCTCAACCCTAGATTTTTTTCTTGACATTTGTTTTCTAATATGTGGAATAAAAGGTTGAACAAAACGCAAAAAAATGAGAATACTAAAAATAAAAAACAAAAAATTATTTTCTATTAGGAAAGAGGAATGAACAAACATATTTTAGTTTTCAAAAAAAATTGATTCTAAGAAAGTAGGGCTAACTGTAGAACACAGAAAATAAGATTATAGTCAGCCTGGCTTTTTTCTATTTCAATTATTTTCTTGCTTTTTATTTTAAGCTTTGAAGCTTAAAAGGACTGAAATACATTTTTACTTAATTTGTCTGTTTCCTTTGTGTGAACATATTCCAACCTAAAGAAGATACATTTGAGGACATACAGATAATCTCGGACTGATTCCTTAAACATTTCTTTGTTCTTTCTGAAATGTCAAAAAATTTTTCAGTATCAGCAACTTTAAGGATTTAGTAATAATCACAGATTTATCCCATGAGTAGAATTTGTATACGTATTTTCCTTTATTGGCTCTTAAACCAGCAGGTTTGGTTTGTGAGTATGTTTTTCTTTTTCTGAAAAAACCTCTGCAGTTCACCTTTTAAGGGAGATTACTCCACCTGAAAGAGAGAAGGCGAGGAAGGTCCATCATTCTAACTCCCTGAAGTTCCCAGCACATTTGGAAGACTCAACATGTTGTCAGTGGAATGTCTATCCTTTGCAAAGCCAGTTTGCTCTAAACAGACTAACCTAGGCAGAACGTGCTCGAATCTGCCATTTTTAACATCAGTATTGAATGGGGCTGTTCGCCTGAATGGAAAACAATTTGTGGGGAGGGTCTTTGCCTTCTGGGGAATTATTAATAGTTGCTCAATCCATGAAAAGTAAACTTTAACTGTTTTGTATTCTTTGATAAGGCAGTTTTTATCCTTTTAGTGTAGGCCTTGTAGGCATCATTGCAAAGTCATTTACTTTGCTTGCTAGATAGTGATGTGTTACTGATATCTTCTTTTGGTTCTCTTATTTGAATCTTGGGGGCAGATCCCATTTCAATCCGTGTGTATATGATAGATTTTTCAGAAAGAAATTCTTCCTGTATCTTTCAGAAAGAGATTCTTCCTATGGATTGGGTTACAAGATTGGTTATCACAGCTTTTCTTGTTTCCACTTAAGTAGACATTTGCTTCTACATTAACTGTACTGAATATTGTCCTGTCATGTTGGCTAGTCTTCCTTTGGCATTAGTGCATCTATTATTTGGGCTTTGGGGGTTGTTGGGCTCCTTTGATGGTCAAGATGGATTTAAATTTGTCTTTAAGAACTTTGGTTTTGGGGTTTTGTTTTTGTTTTGGGGGGTTTTGGCACTGGGGATCGAACTCAGGACCTTGCGCTTGCAAAGCAGTCGTGTTGCCTCTGAGCTAAATCCCCAGCTGTACTTTGGTTTTAATATGAAATGTTTTTGTCTTTTTTGTTTCCAGTTATTTATAGCACAAAATTATATAGATTTTTCAAGTACATTGAAAATAGAGATGTGGCCAAATCAGTCTTGAAGGAGAGGGGTCTGAAGAAGATTAGATTGGGAATAGAAGGTAAGACATTTTCATTATTTGCTGTTAATTCTCTTTTGAAGAAACAAGATTAAAAAATTGGCTTCTATTTAGAAAATAGTTCAACTAGTCCGAGAAAAATTCTGACAAATGGTAATATGTGCTTATGTAGAAGATGAATAAGAAGATCGTTAGGAGTGATTTATTTCGTAAGATTATCTAGTGACACAGGGATATGACTGACTTTTCTGTCATAGCTTGCTCTATTTCACATCCTACAAATCCATTTGTTGTGTGTGGGCATACATGTGTATAATCCCACGAAGCTGACAAGGCTTTGTGCCTACTGGTAGTCTCTGAAACCCAGTAGAATTAAAAACTACTTTTTAAAAATTAATATAGGAAGATAGCCAGGCGTGGTGGCACATGCCTGTAATCCCAGCACTCAGGAGGCTGAGGCAGGAGGATTGCTGTGAGTTCGAGACCAGCCTGGGCTACACAGTGAGTTCCAGGTCAGTCTCAACTACATAGTGAGACCCTGTCTCAAAAAACAAAACAAAACAAAATAGTGAATGTAGGAGGGCCAGGGGATTTAGCTCAGTGGTGCTATGCCTGCCTTTGCAAGCTCAAGGTCCCTGAGTTTAAGCCCTGGTACTAAAAAATAAATAAAAATAAAATAAGTACAAAAAAATAATAAAAATTAATGTAGAAGCAGTACTAGTGCCTTACTGGAGTCTCAAGATAGTATAATAGCTTATTTTCAAGTTAAATATAAATTATAAAACTTCTGTTATTTAAATGCATACATTTTTAGATAGTTTTTTTACTTTATGATTTAAATAAATTTCTCCTTATACCTTGTAAGATGCTTCTTTTATTTTGTTCTGCATAGCAAGGAATGAGTAAGAGTTAGACTCTGGAGCCAGATTATTTATCTTCAAATCCTGCCACTTAAAGGCATGTAAACCTTGTGCCTCAGTTTCTTCACAGTGGGGGCTGTGCTCCTTCACCCATCACTTCGCACTTAGCTGCTTGTTCTCAAAGCTGGAAAGACAGCTGCTTTATGTTGGGAAGAGAGAGAAAGCCTGTCTGAGGAGGGAGAGATTTGAGCTGATGTCTAGTGACAAGGATGATTGTAGTCAGAGAAAATAGCAAGTGTAAAGGTATTGGTAGGAATGAAGTTTGCCTGAGGTACAGAAAACACAAACATGACGAGAATTGTGTGGTGGAGCAGATTTGAAGCGATATAATTGGTGTGAATGTTGGCAGGAAAATAGTTTAGGGTCATGAGAGGTAGTCTTACTCATAGTGAGGAGCATAGTGGGCAAGTATCTTAGCTAAGTCTCTCAGACTTTCCAAGCATCAGTTTCTGTATCTGTTAGTGTCTGTAATACTCGGTATATCCTAGATGGTGATTGTGAGGATCTAATACCATTTGCTAGAAATTACCCTTTTCCCACTTTATTTTCTCTCTCTCTGTGTGGCTACTATTATTCATCTTTCACATGCTCTGAAACATTGGAATTTCTGTGAAATCATTTCTTAGACCAGTGTACTGTATAGTACTATGAACCCCATGGGAGAAGTCAGGTTGGATATTGCATACCTAATGTGGCCTAGTGCTGAGTGTAAGGAGGTTCTCAGGTAGCAAATAAATGATTTATACAAAATTTGTTACTGATAGGGCTTCCTTCTCTATCACAAAGGAATAATAGCAGTGCTCTAAGCATTTGAAATAAACTCAAGTAAATTTTAAGGAGCTATTGATAAGTACTACTGATTATTAATCCCATTAGTCACTTTAATGATATATCATACTACACTTCTAAATATTTCAGTATTTTTCTAAAAATATTTTATCTCGCCCAACAAAATGAAAATTGATTCCTTAATGTCAGACAGTTCTCATTAAAATTTCCCATTTTTCCCTAGAAATGTCTTTTTAGCTGATCTCTCCAAACCAGGTTCCAGGCCAGGACTATACTTCATAACTATTACATCAGATCTTTCAGTTGAGAATAGTTCTTTATGACACTGCCCTATTTAAGAGTTTGTGCTAGTTGTCCTACTTCTGTATTTGCCCTACTGCTTCTGTGTTGTCCTTCAGTTTATGCCTCTAACTTCTGAAATTATAAACTATAAGTACATGTAAAGGCATAATTTAAATTTTCTTCATTAAGTGGGTGACAACCTCATTCCTCTATTATAAGATTAAATTGTTACTTTAACACAATAATGTTCATCTCCCACTGGTCATGGTGGGATGTCCCAGCACTCAGGAGGCTGAGGCAGGAAGATCGAATATGGAAGGCCAGTCTGGACTACTTTAGTAAGTCTGTCTTCAGAAACACAAAAGAATGCTCAGTTCTTCATTAACCATTACCTAAAAGTTATAAATAAATACTGGTTGATAATTCTTCCCTTTATCAGTAATTTTATTAGAGAAAGCAGTCATTTTCTGATTTGTAATTCCATTTACATTTATTAGCTGGTATTTTGTAAAGTAGAGCTTTCTTCTGTCTAATGAGGCTATTTGGTTACCCAAATTATCTCTATTTTTAAGAGGAAGAAACTGAAGCAAAAAAAAGGTTACATAGCTAATTCAAGTTTCATTTGAAATAAATAGCAGAGCTGGAACTTGAATCCAGGCCTCTGTGATTTCAGAACCTGAGTGGTTTTGCAGTACCATATAGTAAATGGAAATTTTTAAAGAGTCAGTGTACAACATTTTTTTGTCTGAGTACTACAAGCTTTGATAATTTGGTCTTGACTTTGGCAAAATGGTTATTAACCAGGCTCTTCTACCCTTCTTTAGTAATTGCAAGTAGGTTTGAAGAATTACTTTTCCAAATTAGATGAGACTACCCATATTTTCCCATCAGATTTATACATTTTTTTTCCTAAATGAAATATCTTTTATCCTAGTGGAGTTGTTAAGATATTTCTGGGACCAAAGAAAACACTGCAGATTTCTAAGCCATTTTGTTACCTCTCTCTCCCATTCATGTCCCCTTGCCTTCCCACTTTCAAGGTCCTCAAAAGAAGTCTGATTTTAGAGTATTAAATGTGTTAACTTTGATGAGAGCAAGATTGGGTTGGCATAGAAGAGACTTGGGAAGGACAGGCGGGAAATCAGATGTGTGAAGGGATGATAGAATCTAAGGCTGAAAGAATATTTTAAAAATAATTTTGTGATCTGATATTCATGTTCAGATATTGCTATAGTCATACCTATCTAAGCCTGTTTTAGTTTATTTTAATCAAAATTTTGAGGTTGGTGGGTGTTGTTTAAGAACATATCTGGAGTTGGGGTAGAAAGGCACAAAAAAGCTCCTGTCTTCACATTGTAGTTCCACTGAAAGGCATTTTGGATTTCTGTTTTGTTTCACCTAGTCCTTAATGGAACATTCTCTCAGCCTGACAGGGTTGATTTTTAAAAATAGTTCAAGACTGCATGGGGTTGCAACTCCATCTAGCAGGCCATGTTGCATATGGCCTTACTTCCATCATTAGGAACCTTGCCTGACCTCGGTAGAAAGCTTTCTTCTGTCATAGTACTTAACTGAGACTATGAACAGAGTCAAACTTAAGGGGAAAAACACTTTGAATATTGATGAATTGCTCTTGCCATAGAATACAGAAAGTTTTATTGGAATCATTTACATATTCGCTGGCTGATTTTATTTTATCATAGAGTTGAGCAATTTCAGTAGAATCATATGTCCCACGGGCTTTTAATAAATGTTTACTGTGGCCCTTTACAGGAAATGTTTGTTAATCCCTGGTCCAAAGTAGCAGTTCTTGCTAATAGAAAGGAGGGAAGGGACCTATGCTAATTTCCTAGGGCAGTATATCTTTGGGGAAATTATCTTTGAGGTAAGTAACTGGAAAATTTCCATAACTAGAAATTTTCCAAAATTTATTAGCTGTTAATTTTCAGTGACTATGATCCAAAGGGAGAATATATAATTAGAGAAAACTGCTTTGGAAATGAAAATCTAAGTCAACTGCTTGGTTGTTGAAAGAGTCACTAAAATGATGTAGGGATTAAAATACGGGCGTTGGCAACTGGGCCTGGGATTTAGCTCAGTGATTCGGTGGCCTGCCTTGCAAGCGCAAGGACCCACGTTCAATCCCTGGTACCAAAAATAAAAGTAAAAGTCGTTGGCAACCTAGCTGTAGTATAATCTAGAACCAGCTGAATAGTTCTGTGTAATTGAACAAAACAGGAAAGAAAATCCCAGGGCAATATAAAGATGAGACTGGCTTAAGGAAACTGGAAGGCTAATGTAGCAGTAAAGTATAGGCCTTTAGCAAGTCATCAAGTGAGGAGAATGGTTCAGAGAAACAAGGATATGTACATAGAGCTCAGGGTCTGTTGCAGATTGTGTATCATTATATTGGGGACCCATCCCTTCCATATTCACTCTAAGAATTTTTTTGGTGGTTGGTTTATTGAGTACTTGAAAGAATAGTGAAAGGTTTTGTGATTTCCACAGTAGGATTTTAGTTTCTGGCTGTTGAACTGATAACTAGGTAGATGGAGCATGTGTTTCCTTTCTTGGTTTTAATTTCCATTTGTTCAGTATTTGTACCAAAAATGTCCCGAAGGGCTGAGCTGGATGAGAAATTGTGAGTGTGTGGGTCCTGTTTTTAAAAGCTTTCTTTCCTCCAGGTTATCCAACGTACAAAGAAAAAGTGAAGAAAAGGCCTGGGGGCCGCCCAGAAGTCATTTACAACTATGTCCAAAGACCCTTTATTCGAATGTCCTGGGAAAAGGAAGAAGGGAAGAGTCGGCATGTAGACTTTCAGTGTGTAAAGAGTAAATCTATCACCAACCTGGCAGCAGCTGCTGCAGACATTCCCCAGGACCAGCTGGTGGTCATGCACCCAACTCCACAGGTGGACGAGCTAGATATCCTCCCCATCCACCCTCCTTCTGGCAACAATGACCTCGATCCTGATGCACAGAATCCAGTGCAGTGACGCTGTCCTTGAAACCATAGCATGCTACTCTTCACAGTGTCCTCATCTGCACTGCAAGGCCACTCTTCTTCATTGTGAGACGCACATGTTTAGGATACTGCAGTGTAGGTTTTTTTAAAGACCAAAGGTAGCTGAATGGTTTTTTAAACAAGTATAATTCTAGCATCCTGAGGTTCCACTTAAAATGTCTTTGTTTACCAGTAGGTTTGTGAAATTGGTTCTTTGTATGGGGGACAGTCCTTTTTCACACATATGGGTCTTTTCTGAGGTGGAAATTGGCATCGGGGGTGCTTTCAAGCGGGACTGATACTCATCACACCCCAGATAAAACACAGTATATTATATAGTTGCACTTTATACTTGGTGGTTAAATGGAACTGTTCAAGCCATTTTATAGTTGTGATGTATAATATAACTTAAATAAGTGCTTCTATCAAAGTATTCCTTCAGTAAAATGTGTATAGTTTGCTGCCCATGATAAACAAAATGGTATTTATCTTGGGCTTATTTGAATGATTAGGATGAGATTCAGTGCTCAAATCTTATTGGTTCACTTATCTCTAGTGCTGTTTCACCCTTTGAGAGTGAGTCATGTGCAGGGAGTGTGAACATCAGAGGTGGTTTATTATCCAGTCTGCCTTACCCTTAATCTGTTCACAGATATTTATTTACTAATGTTTTTCTTAAGCATTATGATAGGAAAATGAAGTGTTTGCTCTTCATTTACTAAACGATTGTAACTCAAGTTTTTCATCAAAATAAAATTCCATTGTTTTAATGTTTCAAGCCAACTTTATAACCACCACCTTGGCCAGATTTTTTGTCTCATAGTTAGATTTCCTGTATTACTGGTGTAAGTACAACTATAAATCATATAGCTTTTCAATTGAACTCTTAATTTGGTGTATGTGTGACACAGCGCTTAAATTTCTTACTAATTATAAAATCTTACTGTATCTTCTTACTACAAATCTAAAGTAACATTAGAGCTGAAAAGACAGAGCATGGCCTAGTCCACCCTATATGAAATGTGAAATGACTTTACCCTAAAGTTTAAGAGCCAGTTTCAGATTCTAGTTCAATGTGGTTCTTTGCATTATATTGTGCTGCTCTGCTTAGCAGATTATTCATACAAGTGGTGTATTAAATATGTGGCCTAATTCAAGAAAGAATCAGAAATGTTTAGGTGGTATGGGTCAGTAGTCATTTAAGGCTTGAAGCTGTACAATTGCAAATACTGGTGAAAAGGGCAGCAGTGCAGAAGTCAGTTCACTGCACATAATTATGCATTTGTAAATTCAAAGGATTTGATGTTTGTGTGTAAGCAGTAATGACTTTGTTCTCCCATTAATCGAAATGTAAACAATTTGGAAATTATCACTTTTTTCGTGCTAGATGTATTCTGAAAAATAGTTATCAATCCCAGGACTATTATGAAGATCACAAGGCATGGCCAATGTTAGTAGCTGTTGGAATACCCGTGGCTGGAACTGATACGACCCTATAGTGTGTAGGATATTTTCTAATTATTTGAACTGAGAACAGTATTTATAGAACAAGGGAAACATTTATTAAAAATATTTAACTGTCTAATACATTATACTTTAACCCATATTTATAGTAAAGGATTCTTACAAGGAAGAATAAACAGTTTTATGATACAATTAGTATAAGAAATATCCACATGGGGGACTTCTTTGTAGTGTAAAAACACCATACATCTGAAATGACCATTTGCATATAAAAGCTACCAATGATGCTTCTGTGCACAATGATTAAAAAAATTCAACACAAACAGAATCCAAAATATACAATTAATGCAAGCTATCCACAGCTAGCCCAATAATCAATGATGAGGAAACACTGGAGCAGGCTTAGTTCCACTTTGTCTGAAGTTACACATAGTAAGATTGACTTGTATCAATGGCTCTGAGATGGCTTTTATGAAGTCAGTACATAAAAGCTGTTCTCTCCCTATCCAGTAAGCTTCACAGACTGTAAAACCCCACCAGTAATGCACTTTGATACTGTAGCTGTTGCCAAAGCAACATGTAGTGTCTACAGCGGCCATGGCAAGTCGCTAAAGTCGACAGGGCCACCCAGACCAGCATCTGCTTCCAGGAGGCTCATGATGACAGCCATTGCTGCTTCATCATTACTGGGACTACTTGATCCTTGGTCGTTATCGATCATGTCTATGCCTATGTGGGGGTTCTCACCTGTGAAAAGAGATGAAGATGGGTCAGTGATTTAAAAAGACGCATATTTAGATTTAGTAAGCAACTTCTAAGTTTTGGTTTTGTTTTGAACCTAGGGGCCCTGTGCTACTGAGCTACTTCCCCAGACCTTTTCTTACTTTTTATTTTGAGACAGGGTCTTAGATTGATCAGGCTGGCCTTGAACGTGGGATCTTCCTGCCTAAACCTCTTAAGAAGTGGGGATTATAGCTGTACATCTCTGTTCCTGGCTCTACGCCATACTTTTAATGAGAAAAGCTATATTTAGCAGTACAGTGAGACAGGCTACTTCTGGGGCTATAGTGGCAATATATATTATATACAGAGTCCACCCAAAAAAAGTATGCACACTTCAGCAGTTGGCCATACTAATAAATATCTAGAAGCTAATGGCCACCACTCTGAGCACTTCTTGTAATTGTATAGGCCAAAGGTAACTTGTATTAATCTCATGGTGTCTCAATAAATTTAGTGTTAAAATATTTACAAGTTTTTCTTTTCCTAATGTATACATTTTTTGGCAGACTCTATATATCATATATAACTATATATAAACATGTTGCTGTTTTTCAGAGGTAAGAACCAGCCTTTCAGAAATAGCACAATGTTTAAAATTCAGCAAATGTTAAAAATATTTGTATTGACCACATTTTAATGTTCTAATAACCAACTGAGACAGCTACAGAAAGAATGGCAAATAGGAGAGAAAAATAAAGATTGGCAAAAAGATGGATGAGATGGGAGAAGAAAACTGCCATCACTTAATGACTCCTAAACACCCCAAAGATTATGCCCCACATGGGAGTAAACCCGCGTGTAGCAGACCTGTGCCCCAGACACGCTTGGATCCCATCAAAACACAACCATTAAAGTCAGTTTTGAAGTGTCTAAAAACCCCAAACTTTTACGTACCAAGTTTTTCTAGAACCAGCTTGTTGTGTATACTCAGCTCTTAAAACCTTCATGCCAGAGTTTTTACAAGCCCACTGAAATGAAAGTGAATAATAATGCTATTTACCAAGAATAGAAGAACTGTCAGAATATGGATAGCCTGGGTTCTCCTGCGCCTGCCCTGGTAGTAGGCCACTGGAAGGAATGTCTGGAGTCCCTCCATTTAAAATCTACAAGTGAAAGGGGAAAAGTGTGAAGTTTTCCACTCTTATTAGGCATTTTCAGTCAGTACCATGTGCAGTGTCACTAAGAAAATAAAGCATGTTGGGAAGAGAAAGGTAAGGGGGAACTTGAAAGAGGTTTATCTTAACAGCTTATTTCAAACAAAAAAACTATTAGCAACAGTCATAACAAGAAAAAACTCCAGATTAATATTTTATCTGCATTTGATAATATAGGTAGTGAAAAGGCTGAATAAAAACCCAGACTCCCTGAGATCATGCTGTCCACATGCTTCTTTAAGGACAAAGCAGAAAGTCAGCCCAGCTTGGCAGTTCTGCTCTAAGAGAGTAAAACATGACAGCCAATATCTCAAAGCTGTGAAGTGACACCGCTCGAGGAGTCACAAATGAACAGCAAAACATGAGAAGCAAATCTTTGATGATCAGATATATTATAGGTGATCAGGTACATTATAGGCACCACTTTTGGTAACCTCCAGTTTACTTTTTTTTTTGAGCCCAGGGCCTTCTGAGGTGTATCACAAGTCCTTTTTTTTTTTATTGTTTTATTTTTAAATTTGAGACAGGTGCTAAAGTTGCCCAGGCTGGACTGAAACTGGATCCTCCTGCCTCAGCATCCCAGAGTATTGGATTACAGGTATGCACTACCATGCTGGGTTTGTTATCTTTTTTTTTTTTTTTTTTTTTTTTTTTTTTTTTTTATCTCACTATGTAGTTGAGACTGACCTGGAACTCACTGTGTAGCCCAGCCTGGTTGCAAACTCACAGCGATCCTCCTGCCTCAGCCTCCCGAGTGCTGGGATTATAGGCCTGTGCCACCAAGCCCAGCTCATTACCTTTCTTAAGATAGGCCACTGAGAAGATTGTACTACTCCCAGATTATTACTCCTCCTTGTCTTTAATTCTGTCTCAAAGTCCCTCCCCCCTCCAAGGTCCTGCTCTTTGGCTGAGTAACATAGAATTGCATTCTTTCAGAAGTATCTATATTTGAACCAGAACAGTTTGGCAGCTGCTAGGATTCAGGAATAGTGATTTCAGCCTTTGCCAGCAGGTGGCATTACAACTTTGACTCCACATTCAGCTTTTTGGTCTAGGGACCCCCTTATACTCTTAAAAATTATTGAGGACACCAAAGGAATTTTGTTGATATAGGCTATATTTATCCAAGATTACTATATTTGAAATTGACATTTTATACTATATTAAACCTGTTACGTGTTAACATGAACATTTTAATGAAAATTAAATATTTTCCAAAACAAGAACAAAACATGAGAAATATGTCATCATTGTACATTTTGCAAAGCTAATGCGAGGCTTAAGAAATTTCAACTGGATTTCCATAGTTGATTCTCCCTTTGGTCTAAAGTATGTGAAGGAAATGCACCTCCCACAGACTAGGTAGCTGGAAAAGGGAGGCATATTTTAATAGCCTTTCCAAGTAATTACAGTATTCTTATTATTCTTTGCTATTACATCAACACTTGACACGTGGAAGTTTCTTAGATGTTAGTTGTAGTATGCAATCTGAAACTATATCGGTTTTTTGCACCATTAAAGTACGCTGATGTATCTTGGCACTTTGCATGGATCTTTCACCACTGAATGATTTAAATATCTTGCATTGGTCATTTATCAGATAATGTTTCACTGAGTGTTGCAGATCTTCCAAATGTTGACACATTTCATGAGAGAGCATGAAAACATTGCCATTGTTTTAAGTTCTGGGAAGCTGTTGAACTCTAAGTAGCAGACACAAGTTTGCTAAAAATTCCAATTTTGCTTGAAAGCTCAGAGAAACAAATGCTACTGGTTTTCCTTAAAGTGACAATGTGTGCTAAATACTCAAAGTCTTTACAGCAATACTTCATAAGAATACAGATGACGTCCTGTGAAACAGGAAGGTAGTTTGGCTACAGCTTCATCACAAACATTCTTTTTCTTGAGACAGACTGTCATATTCCATATGCAGCACCAGTGCTTTAAAGTAATAGTTTTTACTACTTCATTAAGGACTTTCTGGATTGAAATTGGCTTTTAAATTATTTACTTCTTATTGTGAGTGTGTGGTGGTGAAGAATACAGTGACTTCTGGCAGTTTGGTGCCACCGTTCTGATTCTTGCAAAAGCACTAGAGTTTCACTCCCAGCATTGTTCTTGCACTGACATTGCACACAGCGACACAGTGAAAAAAAGAGTAATGTTTTAGCAGTATGACACCACCTTTGACTTTGCGGACACTTGGAGGGACACTGATGGCTCCCCAAAAGATCACAGATGACATTTGCCAAACTGCTGCTCTGTCTGAACTTGCTGTGGGGCCTCTAGATGTCCCTGTTCTCCTGGGCTCTGTGGTGGTCACTCGGCCTCCCCATTTTAGCTTGATCCTGACTGAAATAACTGCAAGCTAAATGACAAATGTGAAAATGACCGGGAAGGGCCATCTTTACCCTTGTGGGTCTGCTGCACCTTTTAGTGGTGAAGTCAGTTTTAACTCCGTCTGTAGCTACTTTTCTTGTAAATACTGCTGCTGTGGATTCATCTCATTAAAGAATACATTCAAGGGCCGGGGATTTAGTTCAGTGGTTCCGCTGCCTGCTTTGCAAGAGCAAGGACCCAAGTTTGATCCCAGTACCAGGAAAAAAAAAAAAAAAAGGATACATTCAAAATTTCTTCCCCCAGACCCATTATAATAAACTCTCTAAAGAAAAAGAAACATTTTCACAAACACCTCAAAAATACTTGGGACTTTATGGTACAGAGCACAGATTTGAATTTCTAGGATTTGTGAAAAGAACTGGAAGTGATGAAACTTGGATTATAGATCAGGGCCCTACTTATTTAACAGATGCTGGGGACATGGATTTTTGTCATCTGTAAAATTATGAGGATAAGATGACAGAGTATATATGAAAGTTCTCTAATATTTAAGCACATCCTACAGTGATAAAACCCACGTCTTGGAATCCTTGATAATACCAAGAGGTCAAGTGCCTAAAACTGAATTGAGGAGGGACAGGGAGACCACCCTCAGGAAATACGGAGGAAGTAGAACAGAACAGAACTAAGAGCCCAGCCAGCAAAATGGGGTGTCCTGATTTCATCTGTCAGTGTTTTCTGAGTCATTCTAAAGGGCTAGTTACTCTCACATATATTTTCTCATAACAACTTTACTTACAAAGATTTTAGCTGTCCTAACAAACATTAGCCTCATTACAAAGAAAACTGAGGCTTAGAAGTTATGC